GGCCGCCCCCGCCGCCACCGCCGGAATAGTACCCCGCTCGAAACGGTGGACGGAGGCGGTCAGGGCCACTGCCTATTAGGCGCCTGACCGTCACCCCCCTGTCCCCCACGAACGGGGGACGGGCCAAAGCAACAGCTAAGAGCGAGACGGGCGCGCTGATACAAATGCCACGCCCGGGGGAGGTTGGGGACCCTGGAGGGGGCCAGATTCCCCAATCCATGCCTCCCCAAAACCACCGGGGTGGCGGGGTTTTTTTCCCCTCCCGCACCCATAACTAGAGAAGTCGCGCATGAGCGCCACCTGGGATCATGAGCGCTGCCCGGGACCGGCAAAGGCCTCGGGCGGGAACGAGTCGGCGAAAGCCGACGGGCCAGGGGAGCTCCCAGCAGAAGTATGCTGCACGCGTTCCTGAGAGCCCCCCAACACCGGCCAGCGACAGGACATCCGGAGGGGTTTTAGTGGGTGCAAGCCCCACATATCCCTGGGTTCACCCCCGAGACCCAGGGAATGCGTAGGCATTCTCCTTCGTCATAAAAAAAAGGAAAATATAAAATAGCATGACCTCTATCATATTCTTGTGGAGTTGGAATGGTGATAACTTCGATTTCATCGTTTCTTAATATACAGATATTATGAATTACACAACATGCTATCACATATTCCGCCATTAAGTCCACTTTTGACATAGGCAGACAGTGCAATAAACTTCTCATTCTCCCTTTTAACAGACCAATGCCTCTTTCGATTATCACTCTGGCTACTGAATGGCGATAATTATAATTGTTTTGTGACACTGTAAGGTGTCCATTGTCTCTGAAGGGAGTCAGTAAGTGTTGATGAATCTCGTATACAGCATCTCCCAATATATGACTGTCACCTAGAAATTTCTCTTCATCATTCAAGTAGTTTGCTACCTCAGATTGTCGAAAAACTCGCTGGTCATGAACTGAGTCAGGATGCCCAGCATAACAATGTGTGATCAAAGTTCTATGATCACACACCAACTGTAAATGAACGCAGATGTACATAACCAAATATTTTCAAAAGACTATTTATTATTAACAAATTAAAATACTTGTTACCTGTAACTGTATCGAATGAAATCCTTTATGGTTTATGTAATCGACAGAATTTTCTTTTGGAGCATCTATTCGAATGTGGGTACCGTCAATGGCCCCAATGGTTTTCGGAAAGCTACTGCTTTCTATGAATCCTTGCATAACCCTTTCAGTATAGTCACCCATAGGCCATTTAATAAATGTTGAAGCATTTAAGAAAAGTGCATGAGTGATCCTTCGCACAGCCCGAACAGCAGTTGCTCTTCCAACATTGAATCTATCGCAAACAGATCTTAAGAAAGAAATTTATTAAAAAAATATAAAATGCAAATACTTTATTGTGAATTAATTTGCCATTTTCCAAATAGCTATCATTAATTGATGATGTGGTGGTATCATAGGAGATCCTTTTATTTGTCTCGTTAAATATAGTCTGAGCATTTGTAAAAGAAATTCAAAAGTCGCCTTCGACCTTCTATGAACAAGAAGAAATATTATTGTTAATATCAACAACTTGCGAAGAAACGTATGTGGATAATTCGAGTGAAAAATCATGTATGTTCATTAACCTAAAATGATTTTTGAAATCGTAATCCATGTAGCGGCCTACAACATCGATATAATTTGGAATTCGCGGACGAAGTGTACGCTTTTTTCTTTTACGTAACACTAACTCCCATTCATCATCAGAACTGGATGAGTCTTCAGATTCATATTTTCTACAGCTCAGTACGATTACCTTAATGGCATCCATGTTACAGAGACTATTCACTCACAAAACCCGTTCCACTAAAGATTTCGCCCGCAGCGCCCGTAAGTTAGTGGAACGGCAAATACTGCGGTCGTGGTCGTGGTCGTCACAGACTTTAAGTGGAACGCACCCAAGGTCGACTTCTATTAATATAACCGATAACAGAGTCTGACGACACAGACATTACGTCAAAGCGCTCGACGTCATCGACCCATTGAAATTCTCCATACGGTAAGGATTCGGACATCGCCCAACCGTACAAATTATTCACATCGAAGTACATGAGGTACGTCGAGGGTTCCAAAAGATCGTATGAAGGTGCATACTTGTTATTAGCTCGCGCATACCTATGCGAACATTGACTTAAACCGCCGCGTATACCACGCTCCACAAACATCGCCATGTCGATGTCGGTGAGCAATTCGAATCGAATACCGGTGTATTTCAACATAGCGTCCCATGTGTATCCCGGTAAAGTGTAATAATACGTCGGATCCAAGCTGTAACTCTCGATACACGTATCACGAAAATTTTCGAAAACGTCCGCCAATAAAAGCACATCCGTCTTGAGATACAAATTGCTGTAATCACCGAGAGTCTCTATGCAAAAGCGTCGCCAAAAGTTCGTCGCGTGTTGATAATCGTCCTCGGAAACGACCTCGTCGGTTAACAAACTGTAAAACGACTCGCGCGGCGGTAAACTAGTCTCGTCCAGCTTATCAACGCTATCCACGTATTCATACGGAAACACTCCTTTACGTGTAAGCAGATCAAAATCTTCGGTATTAAGATTGAGAAATTCCGACCGCGTGATTGTCAATTTACTCTTGTCAAGATACGATACCAATTTCTCGAGACTACTGAGAAATTTAAACGAATCCACAAAACGCAGTTTCACATTGTCCGTTTCCCACTTGACTTTCGCCGTATCCTTGACATATTTCGTAAACGATATATAATTTTCTTTCGTTATCGGTAACAAATACCCTCAAAACTGTTAGCAATATCTTTTATGGTAAAATGTGCGTCATAATCCGACAAGTTATGAAAAAACACAGGAATAACGTATGACTCTTGATAATTTAAATTACAACGTGAATGCGCGGGACCTCTGTAACGTCCGGTTAAATGACAATGATCGCGTACGCGTAAATCTCCTTCCTCGAACGGTCTTTCACAGATGTGGCAATGAGTCGCGTCACGAAATTTTTCCCACTCGTCCGATGTAAGCCTCGTCATAGTAACATTCTTATCAAATATCGTTTTCGCGCGATGCGCCAAATCGTATAATTCATTGACAAACCACGATACGCAATCTTCACCGCGAGATCTGTATACCGACACAGTTTCATCGTATGCACAACGTATGTAATAGCCTACGCTGAAAACCCTGTGATGTTGATAGGTGAACCTCGACATATTTTCATCGCTGGTCTTCTTCTCCAGTATACACTTCAAATCGGCGTAAACTACAAAGGGAAGTCGCTCCTTTTTGTTATGATTACGAAACGACAACCACTTGTTCTCGTTCGGAAGAATAATAGCGCAATCGTTCGTCGTAGCACAGTCAACGACGTGAAGCGACAACTTCTCGCTCGTATGAAAATAATGTAGACATCTGTAAAATAACAATTCATACAGACGTTACACGACTTTTTATCGCTCTGTATAAAAAAACACACTTAGTTATTCGTACCTACCTATCATACAAATACTTCTTTTTCGTATTCTTGCTCAACAGGGAACCTATCAATCGTGACAAATTTTTAATTCATGTGAAATGACCGGTGACGTTTTCGCCGCGTCGCGAATCTTGCAGATACAACAGATTTACGTGTTTTTCTCTCTTGTCTTTGGTGAGACGAAGATGAACGATTATGTTGTCATCTTTTTTCCCACCTCTCTCTCGTTCGGTAAATACGTTGATAGATATATCGTTCAAATTTCGTAATTTGTTTTAAAGCAACGGGAAACTCGATACCTTCGAGCAGCAACACTGAATAATGTGGATACTGCGACCATCTGTATGTGTGACTATCGGTTGGATACAAAGCGGAAACTACCGCCCACGCGAAACACGCGTTATCCATTGAGTGAACATTAATTACTGCTCTCTTCATTTTTACTGAGGTACATCCACCCAACATCCCGCATGCATAGAATTGTATTTGTTTACATTTACAATTAGATTCAGTATGCGTGATAGCGCTCATCCACTGTTGCGTTCCTGAAACTCCTCCAGAATTGCTAAAATATCATCTGTCACGTGTTTATCGTACCACTCTCGCAGATCGGACGCAGCGAAAAACTCGTAATTTTTCGTAGTGATACTCTTAACAGATCTCTTGACATCCGCGACGAACTCGCCGTTGAATATCGTATTCACTTTTAAGCAAACGTGTCTCTGAAGATTATCGCGTATCCGATCGAGAACGATGTCCCTCGTCTCATCGAGAAATTGTCGAGGCTCGATATAACTCGAATTTAACACCGCGCCAGTCAGTACGCGATTACTGAAAGCTGTTTCGATTTCCAACCATGAAAATCCCTTCCTTTTCAGTTCTGCCCCGAGCCCACTAAAACGTTGCCGTAACGTATTTCTCAAACCTTCCAATCGTGCTATTCGAGCGATCGACGCATTTACAACTCCGGTAGATATTCGTCGACGTTTATCATTTCGATACCTCTCCCGCAAGAGGCCGAGACACTCGTCGCATTTTTGCTCCCATACTCTGTACACGTCCGCCGTATCGATGCTCGTCGCACGATGAAAAAGATCCTCTACCTCCTCCTCCATCTCTCTATATTAAATTACTGCTCTCGCTTACACATAAACGTTTCACCATAATTATCTAAAGGTACGTCTAATTTAATTTTCTTATATATCTTTCGAACATGACTACCATTACCATAGATTTTCCATACATCCTTCAAAGCTTCGCTCTCATACTTTCTCGCGCGACTATCGAGAGCTGTTACGCTTTTCATCCACAAAATCTCTCGTGGACATTGATTTCCAATCGCTCTCCGTAAATGGTGTGTAGCTAAATTCCAATGATTATTCTCCTTCACACAGGATGCAAACGATATGGGACTCGGTAACACACATTCGTGACAATACAGATCATCGCCTGTATCTGGAAAATCAGTAGAATAGCTAGGCCGGTTCTAAT